ATATACGTTGCATACCTGCGTAGTATTCGCGCCCAGCCAAAAATGCACGTTGAAGTTGAATTTTTCACTATCTGGATCGGCTTTAAAGGTATTCAAGACTATATACGAGTCACCATCGTAAAACTTGCCCATCTCCTCCTCGTCCTGTTTCTGCACTTTGAAGTCTACGACTCGCCACATCTCGACACCCTGCATGACACAAATGGACGGATATAATTTCTGGCTATTACAGACTCTAGAGTAAGAACTCTATGAACAATACATCATATCTATTTACAACCTGCTATGATTCATATAAATAATTTGACCACATTTCTTACTTCATTTTCACCCGCCCCTTCGAATTGGGCCTCACACTGTGCTGCCTCCATCCTGACCTTATCCGCGACGTCGCTGTCGTATAGAGCAATGTTGCTCTCTTCAATCGGTATTTCCATGGTTTGAAACTCAATTTGGTATGCACAAGACGGTTCTGAAAGTCTTAACACTATTTTCGCGGTTTTGAAAGTGAGTTGAAACTCGAGTCAGTAGAGTGTATTTTAGACATTCCCTGAGTCGCTGGTGGTAAACCAACAAAATATTGTACAATTTAGGTAAAATTTACTTCCCATATTTATTTACATATCTTATCTGTACCATCGAGAAGAGTTCAATATTTCAAAATAAAATAGATATGTATGTAAATAGGTGTCTAATTTTCAGAAGGCTACGAAATAGGTCTTTACTATCATCATATTTTTGTTTTTCATTTTATCTACAACTTTTGGTAAACAAAAAAACTTGTAAGGCGCAATGATCTGTCCTAGTTAATACTATTTAGGTGTTATTTTGACCAAAACCCAACCGACGTTGACAAGTAAAGTTACAAAGGGTTTTTTAAAGGACGGAAAACCTGGGTTTTCCTTCTTAGCTCATTAAGATGATTGTTAAACCACGACCTTATGATAGCACTAATGGAATGTGAGAGGGACCACTCCCGGGTAGTGCAAGGTGCACGCAACCTCACACTAGCCTGGGGAGGAAATTATGACCCAAAAATACTGTAAGGGATGAAAAATGACTTACTGGATATCGACGGGGACTTGAAGATGTGGTGTGAAGACACATTCGCACAGCGTGAACTATACAGGAAGAATATACCGGTGATTCCAAATGCAAGCTCTGATTCGGACGCAAAACTCTCATATGCTGTCTGGAAAGCAACAATAGAGTCAGAGACAAGTGAAGAGTGAAAAGCGCAAATATGAAGTAACATATATGATGCCATCAGCTATATTTAATAATCTAGGCTATACATGAACTGATATAGATATGTGCATACAGAGGATATGTGACTACGTAGTGGTTTACGCCTGTAAAGACGAGATAAGTGTATACGAAGCTCAGGATATTTCAAGAAGCTAATAAAAAGTGACCTGCCGGACGGCACAAGCTTACAATTCTTAGCGACGCGACTAAATGTGATATGGCTATACATATTAAAGTCTAGAGAACTTTTAACAGACAGAAGAATGATGTATGTGTGTAAGCGCAGATTGTATGTATACGTGAACACATACATTTCTCCGCATCTCGTTAAATATTAAGCAGCGTAGAGTAACCACAGAAAGAGAACGGGCGAAAAATGTAGGGGGGGTGAGGCGCCAACAGTTGTTGTGCTCAATACAATCTGAAGTCAAAAACGAGACTAAAAAGGCGAGGAGAACTGAGAACAATGACAATGATGATGAATCATCCTTAATGAAGGCTTTGTCGTTCTTATTCCATTGACAAAATGAGTCAGACGTTTCAGGCTAAGATGGTATTTCAGTATACTTCCGTGGAACAATGAATGCAGTGTGGCCGAGAGCAGAATTTTGTAGAACTATGATCTTATTACACGATAAGGATTTAAGAAACAACAAACTTGGGGATTATGATGGTGAAAGGACCATAAATCGTTTCAGGTCGCTACTAGATGAGATTTTACTGCCCAAGCATGTAAAACATGCGATCGTTTGTGCGGGCTGTATTGGATGCTACATACGGATCTTAATTGTATAGGTCATGTTGGTAGAGAGGGGCAGCTGAGAAAGCCAGACAGCCGATGGGCGTACATTGGGTGAGGAGATAGAAACACCGCGAGAAGTATTGTTTGCTCAAGCGGATTGAGTAGATAAGCTAGATATAGAATTCATCATAACAGATTTCAAAGAAGCAGCAGATGTCGGTAGTGTAACGAGAGCTTGGTTGGCAGGGCGTTCGATAAACAGTTGAAAGCTTTGGCTGAGAGTGTACACGTCTTCAGACTTAATACTCTTTATTAAGTGTGACTTGGTTTTGACCACATTTTTAAGTGACCGAACTACTGTATTTATTACGTTACGTTTCTCACAGGTTAAGCTAACTAAAACTATTTAGTTATGTATTTTTTTGTTACACGATGAATGAAGTTACAACGTGAGCAAGGAAGCATGTGTTCGATTGTTGAAACGACTACTTGAAATTCATCTGCAGTCGCCATGGCATACTGATGAGGTGGTGACATAGTTTTTCTCTGATTTATTACAGGATGAAATACCAAGGCAGAGGTCTATATTGCGCTAGACCATTTTATTATCTGAGACTCAACAATCGATTTCCGCGTTGGATAAGACCTTACAACATATGAAAGGGATTATCAGGCGGAGCGACAACTTAGGGCTGATGACACATGTGCAAAACGCTAAGGAGGTTATTTTTCTATTTCGGCCACCAAGTCAAAAAAAAATTGTGATTTTTTTGTATTTCGGTTAGACTGGTCTTAAGGCAATGATACAGTCTGGACGAATACGCACCGTACGCTGGAGATGGACTCCCGAAATATTTGTTAGGTACCGACCGAGGTCTACAAAAGCCCGAATCCCTAAACCCTGTATTCTTTGTCCGTCTAAGGCTGAGCCAGCCATCAGCTCGTGGACGTGCTTAATTCAGTTCAAATATATTCTGGTGGCTAAAGGAAAACACTACAAGCTAGTACTGGGTAGAACCGACACAGAGCTCACTTGGAATTTCAGGACGACATAGGTTGATTGCATAAAAGATTCAAAGTTAAACGATAGTTGACCTATCGAAGGTATGAGTGATTTCTTGGGCACCAGCAGTGATTCGCAAGGAGACTGTATAACATATTAAGGTCTGAGGCGATCGTTGAGGTCAATTTTACTGGTACGTTAATAACCGTCGACATCACAGCTCAGTAGTGTTCAGCGTATACGGCGGACACTGACACAAAGTTTTTAGAACAAATTTGGAAAAAATATCACAAATTTTTCATATTTATGTGCCATGACCGACGGCACCTCGGTTGGCGGCGGTGTAGAGACTGGCGGTGACGTATAAGATTTGTTTATGACAACATTACCTATGTGTAGGTTGACTTCAGTTATTACACATTAAAATGATATCCGTCAGTTACAGGCTGGCCAAATATTCGACAGAGGAGTAAGAATTCTCTCAGTAGTGCTTATACAATGTGCTAGCATATACGACGAGCGATCATACGAGTGACAGTGATTATTTATGCTGCAGGCGGCACGGCTGGTTGCATGGTTCACTA